GACTGGTCATTTCTGACCCAGTCGCCGTAACTAGCCTCCAGTCGTGTTACAATACCAGACCTGGGACTGTAACCCGGACTATTTGGTCATTAAGTGATCGAAAATTCAACTTTCAAGAAAAGTATTTCAACAAGCTTAGACACTTGTCTGTTAATGACCGTCAGTTTACCGACCGAATTTGTCAACACGTCTAACATTTCAAGACAGCCAGTCCAGTTTTAAGACTAATACAGCCACAATTTAAGGAATGCAGACATTTCTGAAAATAATAACCAGGACATCGGAATAACAAGAGCATGGGGCGACTAGGCTTGTCTGCTATGAGCTCATTTATCGTGGCCCAAAAGGTGCAAGAAAACTGATTTATTAAGCTCTTCACGCCGCTCTCTTATCCCAAAATTTATGTGTGCAAACAATACATAAAAGATAGCAAAGGCCGCACAGATGTGCTCAGGACTTGTCGCAAAGCTCTGGAGAAGTAAAGTTTGGGTGTGACTGTCCGGCAAATGGAGCCGAGCGGTGTAACGAATTGCACACTCACATACATAAGTAACAATGGAGCACTGACCTGACAATAGCCAATCTTGGGGAATGTGATTGCAAAAGCCTGGAGGACCCGTTGTAGGGAGTGGCGCTTGTTCTGCGCGCCGGCCGCATCAGAGAAGTTAACATTTTCTGGGAAGGTTCGAGGCAAATCTGCAAAAAAGAGCGGCGGTTGATTTTAGCTAGTAAATTAACGTAGACAGAGGAACCTGATGTACCTCTTGAGTCAATCTCATTTAGTTGAGTAAAACCAATTAATATAATGGTATGGAAAGGCCAAGAAACGATGCTTCGAAACAAACGCAGTGCAGTAATCATTCGCCATTTTGCAGTTTGTCTTCCGCGGACTTGATAATTCGTAGGTTTTTTCCTAGGATAACTTCTAATGGATTCCCGATATTTTGCCGGGATTTTTATATGTTATTATTTTCTTGAGTATATTTAAGCGTATTCAGGGCAGCGTTTAGGAGCATATGAAGTGTTTATAAGCGTGTCGGAAACATTATTAAAGATTACAAGAGTGTATGAAGGAGTGATTATGCTTTAAACAAATATATAAGCAGAGCTTACCGTTTTTAGACTTACTCACGCGATATTTGAGGGATTACTGTACGCTAAATACGCATTGTTCGTTTTGATACGGATAAACATTGCTGAGTAAACACGTGGTACTGAACGCTTCTTGGCTATTTTTATCTCTAATGCAAAATAATCGGCGGGATGGAGTCTGTGATCTCTGTGCCTGCAAATACGTCACAAAAGTATCCTCTGTACATGATGACTCGCTTAAACTTCAGCAGCATTCAAGGTTGCTTCCAATAGAATTGCCACAGTATATTTTGTTACACTGTCCTAGTTAACTATGCTTGTAGCAACAGACGTGCTGGTTCATATGGGAACTGTCTACGACCATTGCCATTAAATAAATGCTTATCATCTAAGTAAGTGCATTCGTATCCTCAGGTAAGCTACCTACCCGCGAGCACGATGAGGTATTTTCTGGAAACAGACACCTTTTATGAGGTTAAAATGTACATTAAATGTACTATCTCATAAAATGTTAACTAACATTCCCAAATCAACAACATTATTCCCAGATATTTCGGCCAGATCAGAAAGCCGTCTTTTGAATGAGCCTCTTCCCGATCACCTACAAAAACTGCAGTGTGCAAAAAAGTGAATACTTAAGGAGTATGTCTTTTCCCACTGACTTTGAACGCCTTTCTAAATTCAAACATAATTTATTTTTTTAAACCACAGAACATTATCTTTTCTTGTACTTATTTGGTAGTAGACTATGTCTTCTTCAAATTTTGTACTCAGATAAATGGCATCTTTCTGCTTGATAAAAAAGTTTCTAGGTATGAGGTTTTTAAGACCACCAAATGTCCGTACATAAAACATTTAAAACAGAATTTTATGAGCCCTATATGAAGTCTTCGCAACGGCAAATAGAATTGCATGATTTTCTTTGCACGAACAATATGTATCTTGCCATTTAAAAACCCCGAATTCGAATGTGAAAGTGGGTCGGATATAAAAAAATATTCAGGAACGAAAAAAGGTTTTAAAATAAAAAGCACCCTTTCTTTGAATAAAAATTTAAAGGAAACGCAATCTGTTGCCAAATGAGTCCATGGGACGATACGTCTGTGCATAAGGGCATCGAAGCTCAATGGGGCAACTTCATTGCTCCCAAGGGAGTATTTACTTTACCGTTGTCACAGCGAGTTGCTGCTTCCGCTCTTGCCTGGATTGGGAATTTCACGGAAAAGGGGAGGCCTATGGAATGGAATACTCCTAAAACATCAACATGTCCACGGGAACTTCTGCACAGAATTTGCCCTCCGGACAGACAAGAACCTAATTCTCTCGAATATCTCTTCAGAACAAACGTGAAGCCAATACCATGAAATAGGCTGGATGACTTGAAAAAAGACGTAAAACTGGGGGCATTAGTTAGTCAGCGTTTCAAGTCAGCGTCAGTTTACTAAGAATTGTTCAAAAGAGGAAAAACCTTCACTGAGGGAAGTTTACTAAAGCTTCAACGTTTCAGGTGGTTGTGTCGTCCACTCATCCTCAGAGCCTGGACATTCATGTCTCATGTCATTGCTGGACGGTACAACCACCAGAAACGTCAGATCTCTAATAAACCTCCCCCAGTTAACGTTCCGCCCTCGTTTTTATACCACCTGCGAATCCCCAATACCAAGGAGATTTCACCTGAAATAAGAAAATGTAAGCAGAGGAACATCCCTAAAACCAACTGTTATAACTTTTTCATAAGTCCCAAAGTTCTCGGCCTTTGATTTGATGCTTAACTAAATGACCGAACGCACGGTGCGCATAATTCATGCGAAAGATACACAGTAAACGCTGCATAGACCAGGGCGTAATTAAATAAATCTTCATCTCAGAGTGCGATATATCAGGCTCCACATTGTCAGGCGTGATCGATGACAGATCGAGAACTCTACGTGACCTCGATTATCTCCGATACAGATTTCACGCAACTAATCTCCGCTCGCATTGTGTATAGGTGGTAGCATTAGAAATTTGCTTGTCAGTGCAACACCTTTCAGGAGCTCCAAAGAACCGACAGATATACAAATAATTTTTCGAGAAGTCATATGTTCGCATACGCGCAACAAAACATACAGAACAACTTGTAGTGAAGCGTACCATACGCGTACCCGCAGTGATCAGTATGATGCCATTCGAAGTAGTAGGTCAAAAACCAGCCCCACAGTAAACAACCAACGCATGACTTAAAGGAGAGGTACTTCATTGAGAAGAAGACCATTCGATCGCTGGGACAATACTTTTATTCACCTGACGTTTCGATATCCGTCGCGGATTCCTCATCAGAGACATAGTCAGAGAGCAATAGCAGATAGGATCTAGATACTTACTCCCCAGATACTTCATTTCCTGCCGACTCAAGAAATTCTAAGGAAAGAACTTCTACGGCCAATAATTTGAAAGGTAATTAGGCACCAAAATGATCAAGTTCTCACGGGCAGTATAGATGTTGTATCACCAGAAGGAGATCATAAATCAGGCTGGACAGGAGCCTTACTTCGACGGATTCGAGAGCGGAACAAGAACAGATTACCGAATGGTGAAACAGCTTCTAGAGCCATATTCGTCCGACACCTGTGCACCAAGTTGCCTGTGGCGTGTACCACAAAATAATTAAAAGACAAAAGCTATAAGCGACGCTTCACGTGACCAAGACTTTATTGGACAGAGAAGTACACAACTGAAATAAACATCACTCTAGCATATAAGATCAAATATGCCACTGGCTGGCACACATTAACGCCACTATACACTCAGCTCACAGACTCCCCCATGATGGTTTATTCCGTAAATCAAGCCGTACCTGAGGAGAGATAACGGGTTTCGTTGTGCACAAAATTCTAAACATTTACTACGTCTGTTTGAGTGTTATTCCTCCTTTCCCTGGTTGCAAAAATTCAATCAGCTTTCCCATATAAACAGGCAAAGGAAAGTGTACTGACATTCGAAAAATACACACAGTTGAAGACCTGGAGCTTTAGTGCCAGGGGCCTAATGTAGCGAGCATTTTTCACTGCTTGCCGTAATTAACTAGTTTTTTTTTTTTTACAAAAAAGGCTTGTATTTGATCTGCTAGCGAAGGATATGCCAGGCTGTGGCGTCTTACAGAGAAAGGACATGAGTTCTGCAATCCACCTTATTGGCAGGCTGGACATTATAGAAGCTGCCGGCAGTACCGTCCTCCTAAGTAATATGACTATGCGCATAAATATCGTGATTAAATGGAGTAATACCCCGAAATTCGTGGAGTTGCATACCTAGACCCCGCGCCCAGTCATTAAAATAGGCGCACTTTTCATAAACACTTGTAAATATCTAACTTCCGATTTGAAACACGAAACACGTTCAGAAAAAAAACGTCAAGTGCCTTTCAGAACTGATTTTTTACTTTGCCTTTCTCTTTAAAATTTCAAAAGTTAAAGGAAACATACAGTGTATTGTAACACAAAATTTGGTACATCAAAATGTGGTATCGACTGCGCATAAATGTACGTCTATTATACAGCGTATGAAAGTTCTGTTCTGATATTACGAGAAGCGTTGGTGTTTCCTATAGGATAGGACTAAAATATTGTAATTTACGGTATTATATTGCCCTAAGTTTAGCTTTATTTATACGTCAATACAGACTGTATTGTAAAAAAAGGTGGTAAATTATACAGTACTGTATTAATTGCGTAAACTTAAACATTGTACGAATTAAAGGAACTGATCTAGTGTAGGAACCCGCTGCTTTTCTTAACAAAAACACATAAAATTTCCTATTTAAATGTAAATTTTGATAAATTTATGTTATAATTATACCTGTCCGATTGTACAGTATAAAAATAAGATTGCCAAACCTTCCGTATTGGTCCGTTTTATTTTAGCAGCTTAAATATACGAAAATACTATTGCATATAGTAAGTAAACCTTTATGCTGATGATATCACTTCAACTGTTTCCTATCCTGAACAAATTAACGTTAATAAAAAAGCGGGTAATTATCTATGATTAGGTTTCAAGGGAAAAATACATGGATTTATTAAGTCACAGATTCAGAAGCACCAATTTTCGGGGTGTTATGGAACATCACCACCAACGAAAAATACTTGATGTTATTATTCGTTTTTCTTAAATATGATATGCACCAAATACAAGACTGGCTCGAAAAACGGAACATGAGAATTACCAAAGCGGTCCAGTACAGTGCATAGTTATATTAAATTTTACTGTAAACATGAAGCTTGCATTGCAGTGTACGGCTAAGTTCCGTGATTGGGAACGTCGAATAATTAATTGCCTGAAAAGTAATCACCGTCAGGTTGTTGACAACGCCACGAATTTTAAATTTTCTCACCAAATGAAATTTTCAGGATTTTTTAAAAAGCGTATCTGCTTTAGACCGTCACGTAATAGAAAATCGTTAACGTGCACTGCAACATAAATTTCGGAGTAAAAGCAGAATTCAGTAGCGAACCTGCAAGAATTGTTGTGTTGAATTCCTTGGCTGGTTGCAGACCACAGGCCGATTTATAAACGTTCGGATTTTCCTTCATTTCTTTGTCGGCCCCCGATAAAGTCATCCAGACATGGCTTCGGAATTCGGATGGAATGCCTTTTCGACAAAAACGTTTCACTGCAGGAAGAGTAAAAGTTGAAATGATGCGTACATTTATGTCCACGAACAAGATCACCCTGATTTATCACTCGTTTCCACCGTTCATAGCGTCTTTGGAGCACAGTATCATATGCCTTTTGAAATTCGGCATATGTTTCTGATTGGACAAAATCCGGGTCTTCAAATCCATAGCTCTGAAGGCTAACGGACATAGTAGGAAATGCTTTTCCTGAAATAAGGAATTGCAAATAAATTATTGTGTGAAGCGGTTTAACAGTATTTACGGTCATCTTATAACAGAGAATATCTGAATTTTTGAAGTTGAATATTTACGATAGATAAGATCGGTCTTCGAAACCGACCAAATATAGAAGTATTACAACTGATAGAGTATTATATCAAAAATCAGTCAGCGCTATGTGTGAGATTATTTTAGGACATTCCATGAAAAAAAATACGCATGGTACAGGAACCATCAGAAGAGAGAGTATATTTGAAGGCGACACTAAACGTTGACGAAAAGGTGAAGATCTGTTTTCGTGTAGTCAGTGAAGCATGTGCATTAAGCTACTATGTGACGTTAAAGCGCACTAAAAAGCCTAGTACACTGCTGGAGAAATGGGGATATCAATACATCAGTATTGGAAGTAGAAAATAGGGTTTTCGTCCATGAAAATAAGGTAAAAGCAGGTTTTGTGCAATAAAGTCCAATGATAATATAGGTGTTATATAAGACGGTCTGCGATATGCGGTCACTTTTCTCGGTTATGCTGTATGACCACGATGTCAAGATAGTATCTTTCTGCAGTCAACAATGAACTGATACGGAAATTGACAGTAAAAGGAATGCCGCGTAAGTCGATAGTAAGTACTTAAGTATTAGTAAGGTCAACCCGTATTGCATTATTAGTGATAGAACTAGACCCAAAACTAAGTAAGGTGAAAGGAAACGAGCCAGTGGTAGGCGAGGCGATGATTGCATTCGTCATAAACTGAAAATGTGTCATTATATACCTATTGAAATCATTACAGGGAGCAGCTGACGGTTCTCTCTATAAATATAAGTAGGAAAGTAAGACAACAATTTAAACTTCAAGGAAAGGCATCCTTTGGGAAAATGAGTAATTTTATTCAGTAAATTTTCAACACTGGATCCCCAGGTCGTCGTCAGACTTCGCCAATAAAGGGTCATGACGAACCCATATTAAAATAGGAAAATTGTTCGAGAACGCTCTTTATTTGTTAAAAACTACAATGATTACAGACCCTCATCCTGTATGCGCGTTAACTTCAGTGATAGGTTTTACTTTTAGATAAGGATGCGAAGTCGACCGAGGTGGTCATTTGTGGAAAGGAACTTCTAACAGCGTATACGTTGTCGGCCGCAACCCTTAGGAGCCATCGACGGTTGGTGAAGGCGGAAAACCTGGGAGCAACACTCACATCAGAGTGTTCGATGACCCCTTTGGTTACAACGGCATCCACAGGCGCAGAATGAATACCATAATTCTACGCGATAAGCTCTCGGTTACAGCTCAAAAAGATGTGAATTTTTTAACGCTTGCAACTGTAGTTTGACTCTTTCGATAACAAAAAGCCTCATCGGATGCCGCCTCCATTTTTTCAATTCTCCCAATAGCTTGGATGTAAATCACGTTGAAAATATTTTGCAATTATTAAAAAAGTGGTAGGAGGCAAAAAGGAGTCTTTCTGTGCAAAGTAAAATTTGAATTTAGTGTTTATGATTTATATTTAAAAACCACTATTGACAACTTAGCTGACTTCATAACTGCAAGGCTTCATACTGTCCTCGATGCAAACGAACAATCATCAAGGTACGTATCTTTTTATTTTTATTTACTGTGCCCCTTATGCCTAAGCACCTTAAGGGTTATCCTTATTGGAGTAATTTATACCCTAGCCATAACCTGAAATTCTAGTCTTTAATGAAAATAATGTATATCTTGTTAAATATGAATTTAAAAGAACGGTAGCTTATTACTGCTGCAAGACCTTGGGATACGCAGTTTTGGTTGATTTTGTGTAAGAGTTAATTGAGTTTAAAATTCACGAGATTAAGTGAGTTGACATATTTGCTGAATATATAAAGAGAAGGGAAATTTGAACAACTCGTTTCAGCTTATTGGCCACTCCCAGGTAGTCATACGGAACTCCAGGATTTGCCACCCCGAAGTTCAAACCCGCGACCCCTTAGTTAGAACTGCAACGTCCCTTATATCGTATATTTTTGATAAGACCAAGCGTCAAAGCGACGGTTCGCGATTTCTGCAGAAATCAAAAACTGTCGCTTTATTCAATTTAATATATTAATATATGTGCTTCGTCGATATAGTAGAGGAACAATTAAGTTCCGCTTTGTCCAGGAGCTCACAACGTGAACCCGCCAAATCGTCACCTCTCGGTTGTTCCAACCCTTGAGATTGGGTATGACCGGCTGATGGCGACTAACAAGCCAGAAATGGCCATTCCGGTCTCCCTTTGCTTTGTCTGATCCATTTCCTTTTAATAAATTTTTTAAATTTTTTTGCCTATCCATGTCTAGACGACTTCAGGAAATCACCCTGCTAGCACAATCCCCGGATTCCCCGTGCTCTTGACGGGGTAATTCGGGAGAATACGGGGGAATCTGGGGATGAAAAATTTTGATCAACAAGATATATCTACATAGCCAATTTTTCAAAATCTACTTTTTATCAATAAATTATTAATCACATTACCCTCTAACAAAACAATCAACTTGGGGTCTAAAAATGAGAACAAGTGGGCGTCCAGTCCAGGCGGCAGGGAGACGAGTTAAAATCCCCGTCCTGAGCCCCGTCCAAACTGGCGATCCTTCCCGGAGTTGGACGGGGAAATCCCCGGATTGAACGGGGACTCATGACGAGGCTGAGGACGGGGATTTCAACCCGTCCCCCCCCGCCGCCCCCTTTTTCTCATTTTATAGACCCCAACTTGATTGTTTTGTTAGCGGATAATGTCATTCATAATTTGTTGATGAAAAGTA